TTTTTTGTATTATTTAATAATATTAATAATAGCTATATAATTTACATCTACATTTAGTCATTTACCAGACGCTTTTATCCAAAGCAACTTACAAATGAGGACAATGGAAGCAATCAGAACCAACAAAAGTGCAATAATATGTGCTGTGACAAGTCTCTGTTTGTCTAACTATATATATATATATACATACATTTTTTTTGAGCACTAAAATATTCAGCAGCATGAAGAGCTAAGCATCTCAAGAAATCGAGTCATGTGGTGGTCTTTATAATTTTCCAGGAAGTGAATATCTAATAAAAGTTTTATTTTTTATTATTTTTTCTTTATTGTGTCAAAATTCAAATTAAGTATAGATGTGAACTGTACTTTCTGCGACTCACAACCAGAAACTGTCTTGCATCTTTTTTTGGCATTGTGTTCATACAAGAAAACTTTGCCAGTTCATTGTAAACTTCATAATGACTCTGATCTTTACTTTAAAGATGTTTTGTTTGGATTTTTCACTTTTGAGAAGCAATATGAAAATGTTTACTTTCTTTGCAACCTAATCATGTTGCTTGCATGATTAGGTTGCAATCTACTTTATGGTATAATTTTTATGCTTAATTTTTATGTTTTGTAGGAAAGATTATGTTTATTGTTATGTGATCTTTAATTTTTTCGATTTATTTATTTGTTTTTAATGTAATTGTTTTTTGTTATCTTATTTTATTCTAATAATTTTTTTTTTTCACAAATGCAAGATTTTGAAAGTTACCCCCCATTTTTCTCACTTTCAAGAAGATATTAAGATCTAGGCCTAAATCCTTGTCTACCTCCGTTAACAAAAAGGCAACTAAAATTTTGAATGTATATTTTTTATGTTGAATTTTTATGTTATTAAAAATAGTTTATTGTTATGTGATCTTAATTACATGCATTTATTGATTTATTATTAAATAATTAATGTATTTATTTATTTTAATGTAATTGTTTTTTTGTTGTTGTTATTTTATTTTTATTTATTTATTATTATTATTATTATTATTATTATTTCTCTCTCTCTCCCATGTATTTTAATCGCTATGTATTGTTTGGCCATCCTTGAACCCCTTGCTCTTTTACTTGGCATATATTTTTTCACTTTTGTATTCTCTAAGCAAGTGTTTAATAAAATAATTTTAAAAAGCATGCAAATGATTGACAGGCAGACAGCGTTCTATTATAGATTCTGTTATTCCAATACGTTATATATATACACACACACACACACAAACACACTCTCTCTCTCTCTCTCTC